ATATTTTGTGGGAATGAATTGGGTTACTGGGGGGTGGGGGTGGTGGTGGTAGGAGTGGGAAAGGATGGGATGCGGTTGAGGGGGGGTAATGGTAGTAGATGAAAGTGATGACAATGGGGAAGTAGGGTTTCTTGAATGATAACTTATCTATTTCATACTCAACAACTGGTGTCTTTTCCTCTCTATTTCAAAGCTTAAACTACTCATTTAGAGTATTCGTGCAGTCTTTTTATATATTTTATAACTCGCCTTGTTAGGGATTGCGGAGTGGTCACAGTGATTTGAATTTTAAAAAATTAGACAATCTAATTAGTGCGCTGATCATACAAACAAATAAGGGTGTTCATGTTGACCCTCCTTTATCACAGAGAACTCAACACCTTAAGAAATAAACCCAACAAATTTCTTATAGACCACGAAATAAACTTACTACACCTGCGGCTATTGCAAGTGAGTCTTCGTTTTAGCAAGCAATTTGGAAGTTAATAACTCCCACCCTATTTCCTCTCTCGTTCTTTTTTTCACTTTTCCCGTTTCTCTGTTTTTTCTCGTTTTTCACTATTTTTTTAAACTTTCTCCATCTCCCCTCTCTTTCTCTCTCCTCCTCCTCCTCGCCTCTCTCTCTCTCTCTCTCTCTCTCTCTCTCTCTCTCTCTCTCTCTCTCTCTCTCTCTCTCTCTCTCTCTCACACACACACACACACACACACGCACTCTATCTCTCTTTTACACACAGACATACACACAGACATACACACTCACACACACACACAGTTACACACAATTACACACAAAAACACCCAAAACAGAAAGCACGTACATAAAAGAGATAGTAGCAAGCTTTTATATGATCATTAGAATAAAACAGTATTCTCTAAAACTCACTAGCACAACGAACTGTTAAAAGTAAATTTTGTTTTAAGGCCAATTACTTACTTCCCAACCTCGGAGCAGACTTCTGAGTCGGCGACCACGGCAGCGTATTGAAATGTGCCAGTCGAGGACTTGTACTTCTCCCCGTTGGCAACCGGTGCGATGACGTCATCATCGCTGTCTCTGAGACCAACTCCAAGCCCTATGGCCAACCCGATACCGATGATGATGGCGCCGACGATAATGGCAATGACAATTGGTCTTGTCGAGATGCTGAAAGAAACAATGGAAGGCTGATTTTGAGTCTTAGAGTTAGGAAGAGTTGTACGGTCTTTCCAACACAAATAGATCGAAAATCTGCTGAAGATTAGAGGTTTTACTATAGAGTAACATTGTAACCCCCCCCCCAAAAAAAAAAAATTTTTAAAAAAATTTAAAAAAATAAAAATAAATAAATAAAGGAAGGAAGATATGTAGGGGCGATAGATGTTTAATAGGAAAGAAGGAGCAAACCACACAACACCGCCTGACGACCACTCACAAGTAAAAGTAATACAGAATGAAACAACACAGGAAAAGTAGAGACGTAAGATCTACGAGTAGCACAGCGTAAAGGGGAATTGAAGTTGTTAAGAATTGAGCTAAAAGGCGAGGTTTCGATTAACGGGGCTTTGCATTATGATTTAAGACTGGTTATATTATAGACCTTTGTGTAAGACAATATCAACAATGTCCATCATCATTAACCCGGCTCCTCTTTGACCACGCCCCCTCCCGCCCCCCACTTAAAAAAAAATTCTATTTTGGCCATACACATACACACACAGTTTTAGTTTGGTTTTAGGGAAAGTTTTGCGGTACTTGCAACACAAATAAGTCATATATGTGCCAAAGGAAAACATGAAAAGAACAGAAGGAGGAGAGATAAGAACGACTGATGTTCAGTAGGAAAGAAGGAGTAAACCATGCCAAGACTCTTTCGGCCCTCAAACCGCCGCTCCGCATTGTTGTTTTTGGCAAAGTTAACCCGACTGCTAGGGGAAAGATGACACCATGTATAATCTTAGAGTTTCCTTAGAGTTTTTCGAAGATTAAAGGTTTTACTAAAAAATAACACACTCAGATTATAAGAAAGAGATAGACGATAAATGTATGACTGGACAGAAGA